GGTCAAGGATTTTATGTAAGTGCTTATGTAACAAGAGAGAATAATTTCTGTTGTTTTATTGATGAAATTAAAAATATAATAATAGTTCTGTATAATTTTTGATAGCATAGGTCTATTAATGAGAAGAATAGAATTTTGGGGAGAGGCAAAATTCAGCTTAATTGATGACATTCCCTATCCCAAACAGACTGCAAACAATCACGTGCAAAATCACGTCAGTTCCTGGGCCACATAAAACACTCAACCAGGCCATATTTACTTTGTCATCCCTAGCTCTAAGTACCAAAGTTGTCTGAAAAACAAAAACACTAACACCACAAACTTCTTAATCAAGGTCCACTTTTTAGTATCTACTATCAATTTGAGTATTAAAATCTTTAAGCTTCACAACATAAAACACCTAATCTCAGCTGTGCCAGTGTTTAGTGGCCCACACCTGTAATCACATCACTCTGAGACCAAGGCAGGAGGACCACACATTCAAGCCCAGCCTGGGCAACATGGTGATTTAGCAAGACCCTGTCTCAAAGAATTAAAAGTGGTGCTGGGATGTAGCTCAATAGGAAAGCCCTGGGCTCAATCCCCAGTACCACAAAATAAAATAAAATAAAATGAAATAAAATGCCTAATTTTTAAACAATTGTTTCTAAAAAGCAACTTGTCCTTTCCTGACTCCTAAATAAAAAATTACTAACCACAGATGAGAAATTTAATCTTTAAAATTTTACAATCTAAGAATTCAAATTACACAGATGTAAAAATATATTTTTATAAGGTAAACAAAATAAACAGGATTAAACTGAAGCAGGAAACAGTGAGGGCCCTAGATAGATAACTCTTTAACACAAAGACAGGAGCAAAAAGCAGCTTTTAACGGTGCCGGCAGCTCAGCAAGTGACTCCTGTCAGTCTCGAGAGCCCTGAAGAGAAATTTGGGCTTCCTTATATACCTCTTTTTACATTTAAAAAGCTTAATTCCATTGGAGTTTCCCTAGAAATACAGCAAGCAGGATGTATACAAAGTAGAGCAGTGGAGAGGGGGAGAGCAAAGAGTTCTGGCAGGACTTTCTGAGTCCGTAATGCTCCTTTGGTGACAGATTACAGAAGGTGTCATGGCTACTCAAGTACATTTTACAAAAAGCATAGTTACCTAATTAACCCATAGTTGCCTAATAACACAGTTAACCCATAGTTGCCCAATTCCATATGGAGGAGTGGTCTCCTTTCTCAAAACAACCAACAGCAGAAAATGAAACAGTAACATGAAGAAGAGGAAAACTGGGAGTTACTCTGTCAAATAGCAAAGTGAAACTAATCCAGTAAGATTTCAAGAAAATGTATATTGGCCTGGGCATGGTGGCACATGCCAGTAATCCCAGCACTTGGAGGCTGAGGCAGGAGGATCATCGTGAGTTCTAGGCCAGCCTGAGCTACAAAGTGAATTCATGCCCAGCCTGAACTACATAGCGAGACCCTGTCTCAAAAAAAAAGTATCTTGGTAAATACTGAAGTAAGTATTTAGTTTAGTTTCTAAGTTAATCCTAAATATTACTCTAAATAACATCTTCATTCTGATTCTAATCATTAATGTAGTTATTTAATTTTGAGACATGGTTTCACTATGTGGCCCAACCTGGCTTTCAACTCCAGAGCTCAGAACCTTATTTTACTCTAGAATCCAAATGGGTTTTTTTTTGGGGGGGGGGGGAGTACTGGGGCTTGAACTCGGGTCCTTGTGCTTGCACAGCAGGCGGTGAAACCACTGAGCTAAATCCCTGGCCTAGAATCCAAATGTTTTAAAGAAAGTTAAATATTTATTTCCATACTATACTTGGTAAGTAGTATCAGACGTTTTCACATAATTCAATAAATATTCATACAAAATTCCAAATTATTGCTACTTTTAATATCTAAAAACTTTAAATAAGGTGATTCAAATTACTAACATTAAATCTTCTAACATTAAACCCTGCCTCAGCCTCCTCAAGTAGTTGTGACTATAAGCGCACAACATTGGGCCTGACTTCCTAAACATTAATCTAAAAATACATAACTTAGGGTTGGAGATTTAGCTCATGGTGCTGGTGCCTGCCTGGCAAGCACAAGGTCCTGAGTTTGATCCCAGGTACTGGGGGAAAAAATTAAATAAACAAATGAATAAAAATACATAACAACTCTAATAAATACTTTTGCAAAAGGTAAGAAAAACTTCACTATATTTTTCAAGTTAGCTCCGTATCTCAGCCTCTCCAAGGGCCCTATACTAGAAAATCATTACCTTTGTAGTGGAAACAAGTGCCTGACTCCTACAGTTGTTAAATTAAAGGAAATATTCTTTACACCCAATATTAAATTCTAGTATTAAGTAAAGATTTAAATATTTAAGATGTTTTCTCATGAATGGCAGATTCTAAAAGCTTCTTTAATTTTTAAAATCTAAAAACCAAACAAAATACACAAACCTAATAAGGGGAGGAATGTTACTGACTATAAACATTAAAACGTAAAGCACCCTTATGTTTACTTGTTTTACACATTTTTCAAGAGACTCTAAAAGCACTTAAGTATAATAATTTTTAAGTCAAATATTTCTGGGAGAATGTGAAAGGTCCACTGGTTTTATTCTAAAACTCTGGATCTCTGATCTTAGCACTGTAAGCTAAACATTTTGATTTATATCTCCTTTGTCCTAGTAATTTGAGCTAATACAGCAGTGGGGTTTTAAATTTTCAAAAATAAAGAAACAACCTAAAAATACTGTAAATGAGCAACTTTTAGTACAGAAATCAATGCTGACAAGAACTTCCCACTATCCATTTACTTTTAACAGCCTCAACATATTTTAATCTAAACTAGTGGTTAACAAAGGGTAGAGGGTTAAGGGAGGTAGCCTAATGGTACAGCACATGCTGGAGATCCTGCGTTCAGTCCCCAGCACAAGGAAAAAAAAAATGTAGAGAACAGACAAGAACAAGCACAAATATTTGGGGAAAATTCCAAGTTTTTCTAATAACTTCAGACCCAATACAGAGCCACTTTCCCACCTATTTAATACTCATACTTCATATATATGATACACACATATGGATTTGATCTGTACAACTACATGCCAGTGTTGGCACAAAATTCCTAGTTATTTCTAATCTTCATTTCCTTTAGTTTCAATGATGATACAAGGTGAACATGCAGCATTTTTTAAAAAGTCATATTTAAGTCGAAGTCACAGAATTACAAGAATTGAACAGTATCTTAGTGATCAATCTTAGAGATTAGACTGTCTCATTCTACTGATTCATCAAAGAAGAGAAACTAGACTCAAAACCATGCCTGAGATCATGAACCAGAGTGAGAGCCAGAGCTTCAGTGCCCTTCTGAGCAGCCAAGCTGCAGCACACCTTCAGGCAACCTGAAATTAGGCTTATGCATGAGAACTGTTTAAGAAATGTCCACTTTTAACTAGACAGTGTAAAGAACCTTGTTTTACTCTACAACTCGAATGTTTTAAAGAAAGTTAAATATTTATTTCCACACTATACTTGGTAAGTAGTATCAGAAGTTTTCACATAATTCAATAAATATTCATACAGAATTCCAAATTATTGCTACTTTTAATATCTAAAAACTTTAAGGTGATTCAAATTTCTAACATTAAATTATTTTCTTCTTTACTAACACTACGGTAAGGATCTTAGTGTAATGTGAAAGCTTAAAACTGGGACTTAAGAGTCTTGGGTTTCTGTCTCACTTTTATAATACTTTTAACTAATTTACTGCCAAATCTCAACCTATCACTCATTTCCTGCTTTAACTTACTGGCACATCTCTTACCTGTATTGCTTCTAATCCTTACATCTTAGAAGATATGCATTATTCTATTTACTCTAGAGATGAAGAAACTGAGCTTCACAGAAATTACATTAATTTTCCAAGAATATGAGACAGTTAAGCGTTAGCCAGAATTTGACCCTGCTCTATGTGACATTAGCTAGAGTACATGCATGCATGCTCTTTGCATTATTCCACTTGGCTTATGTACTGATATAATGTGATCCTAGTGTGGTTGAAGAATAAGGAGTTCAAGTTGAGTAGTCAAAACTTTGAGGACCCAAAGTGTTTCAGATTTGAGAGATTTTCAAATATTTTCATACACTTCACCCCAATCTGAAAATCTGAAATTCAAAACACTCCAAAATCCGAAATTTTTTGAGTGACCAACATATCACACTCAAAAAGTTTTGGATTTTGGAGTCTTTTGGACTACATGTGCTGGACTAGCAGGGAAACAAAAACACACCATGAAAAAATACACCATGACACTTTGTGTGGTCATGACCCTATAAAGTTTAAAAATCAAAGAGAAAAAAAATGAACAATGGCGAATGTAGGGCATAATCATTAACGCAGCCTAAAAGCAAAACCAGAATTGAAGCTTCCAGCAAGCTCTAACCTGTATCATGCCCTAAAACAGGTAAGTAGCTCAAACTGAAAGGCACTGTGCACGCTTTAGTCATGCGTCCTACTATGTGCCCTGATGACATATGACTTCACTACTTTACGTAATACTTCACTACTTTACATCAATACTTCTGGGACTCCGGATCTTTTCCCAACTATGGCCAGTGTGTTCATCTGTGTCCTGGGATAATGCCCACATAGGTAATGACACTATCATCCTGTCGATTCTTTGGCAGTTACATCTTGACACAACTATTTTGTACTACTGCTCTTTTCGTCTCGATGAACAGCACCCAAATCCCGGGGATCACACAAACCGCCCGTTCATTAAGTTCTCCACCCACTTTCTACATCATTCATCCCGTTTTGCAGCCATTTAAATCCCGGGCAAGAGGAATGCAGAACATTAAGTACAGAAGCCGGGCAGAGGGAGAAAGCAGCCGCAGAAAGCAAGGGGAGAAGGGAGAGAGAATGTGCTGCCTGTCCCCGGGGAGGAAGAGGGAGGTCGCCGCCGTCCCCGGGAGGAGGGCCCTGCCCGCCGCTCACCTCGATCTCGCGGATGTTGTTGGAGGTGACGAAGATGCCGATGCCGATGGGGATGAAGATGAGGCCGACGATGAAGAACGTGGGCAGCACGGTGCCCGCCGTGAGGATGGGCTGCCAGGCGGGCAGCCGCTGCTGCTTGAAGGCCGTGTTGTCCGGCCTCCGCGTCTTCGCGGCGCCCCCCAGCGCACACTGGGGCCCGCCGTCCACCTCGCCCTTGGCGTTGCAGTTCATCGCCATCGGTCCCTGGGGCGCGGCTCTACCAGCTCAGGCGTCCCGCACGGGGATCCCACCCCAGACCCTGAGGAGACCCGGGCAAGGGTCTCCGCCACCAGCGAGACGGAAGGGGCAGGACATGGATGACCGGAAGCGGGAGTTCACTGGCGCCACCTAGGAGCGGGAGACCGGAAGACTGGAAAGGCGGGCGGGACTACGGTAGGAGAAAGGGGCGAGGGGATGGAGACGGCGGGCGCAGGGGGAGGGTCAGACAGCTCACAATAGGCCCGGAAGTGAGGGCGTAGTCTCGGCGCATGCGTCGTAGGCTTGTCTTCGTGCATCTAGCGGACGACCTTCTGCGCATGCGTTTAGTTTAGCGCTTGTTGTCAGGGCGACAGCGGGTCTTCAGGGCAAGCGGGACCCTCCCGCCTGGCCTGAGCCACAGCTGTTAGCGACGGCCCTAGACAGATTTTTTTCTTTTCACCCCGACGCCGTCTCTGGAGGGAATCAGAACGTTTCAAAGGCCACGGTAGAGATCCCAGCCCGGTGCACTTGGTGCAAATATAAAGATGATTGACATCTTTTGTTCTCCATGGAGGAATCAATGTGACTTGCCTCACACTGAGAGATTCTCCGTACTTTTTCTCCGTTCATGGTCTTGTTACTTCGCTCCTTTTCTGGGTCTGCCATTCTCTTCTGCACGTTGACACAGGAAGTCCTTTGTAATAAACTGTAGTTTTGGGGTCTTTTGGGGGGGCGGGTACCGGGGATCGAACTCGGGACCTTGTGCTTGCGAGGTAGGCGCTGGAACCACTGAGCTAAATCCCCGGCCCTGGGGTCGTTTTTTAATGTTGGTAATTTTTAAAATACAGCACTATATAAAATGAGATACTACATGTCTTAAAATTTCCAAGGAAATGCTCAGGACATAAAAAGTGACTAAGGATACCAAAGTAGTATGGAGACAAGAAATACAGAGCCCAACTAAAATATAATGGTAACCTCCATTGACTGGAGAATTTTTTTCTGTTTCTTCCCACTTTTCTGTGTTTTCCAAAATTTCAACAATAAGCATGTATTTGTAAAATTTAAAAAATATTCAATCCACATTATTACAGTCTTTGAAATCCAGACCAGAGAGGAAATCACATCATCTAAAAGCAAATACTCAAACTTTATTTTTTAAAGACTTTGTCTACAACTATGCCTTTTGGAAGGGACACCTACTTAAAGAGAAACTAAAGAGTGCTTGGTCTTCATAAGTTGCAATTATTTTATCTTTTCAAAATCACTAGTCTCAAGCATATGAGTCAGTTGAGTATTTTGTTGTTTGGAGGAATGTAGTAGTTGGTGCTTTGTAATAACTGACTTTCTTGGGTTTGCTATTACACGATATCCATTATCTCTGAAATTCTTACCACCACTAAAAAATTAGATTTCTATTTTATTTTGGCTAATAGAAGTTTACCTACAACCTTACACTGAAATGGAAGTTGTCAGTCTCAGTTAATGGAGAAGGCATGGAGTCCTTTTATTTTACTAAGCTCTATTTGTTCATAAAAATATATAACAGTGTTGGGCATAATCCAAAAGTGTAAGATTCCCCCCCCACACACACACACTGCTACCTGTATCATCACACTCATTAAATGTAATAGTGCTTTAACTGATTTGCAATTGCAGCATTCTGTATAAATGGTCACTTGAAGGTTAACCCTCCTTGTCCATGAATACTGCACCCACAGATTCAACCAGTCCTGAATCAAAAATAGGAAAATAGTTGCCTCTGTGCTAAACATGTAGACTTTTTTCCCACCATTACTCCCTAAACAATATGGTATAATAGCTACATACATTGCACTTGCATTATATTAGGAGTCATAAGTACTGTAATCTAGAGATGATTAAAGACATATGAGAGGATGTGCATAGGTTATATGTAGACAACTAAGCCATTTTATATAAGGGATTGAGCACCTGAGGATTTGGGTAGCCACTGGGGTCCTGGAACCAATCTCAGATACGGAGAGAAAACAATATTTCACTTCAGTTTGTTGTTCTAGTGATTTGAGTGATTATGATGTATTTATTTACTTCTTTTTTCTTTAGTTCGTTCATAGAAAAGAATAAGTACTTGTCCCTTTTTTAGAAATTACATTTGACTGAAACATAAGTTTTTAGAATAGAAGTCTTATATTCCTGTATAAAACTTACATTTTCATATCAGGTCAAAATGGGTGAAATTACTTTTCCAGATCTCATGATATTCTTCATTTACATTCCACAATGTCCTTCTTTACCCAGCTAACACATTTTCTTCAATGCTACATCATTATCTCAGAGACTTGGAATTTTATGATTTTCTTGGAAATATTTTGTTTTATCATAGACTGTAATGGGTAGTTTTTCACTAATCTTCTGAAGTAGGAATTCTGGAAAGAAAAAGAAAGTTGTTTGACATTTATTGGACAACAAAAGAATAGTTGTTCTTGCAGTGGATTGTTGGTGTGTGCCTCTCCTCCCCCAACACTAGGAACTGAACCCAGGGAGTGCTGAGCTAAATCCCAATCCCTCCCACCTTTTTAAATTGTGAGGCAAGGTCTAGCAAAGTTGCCCAGGGTGGCCTTGAACTTACAATCCTCCTGTTCAGCCTCCTGCAGCGTTGAAATTACAGGCACGCAGTCCTGCACCCAGTTATATATCTGTATATGAATTTTCAAACTGGTGGCTAGGAGTAGCTAGATGCGTGATGATATATTTATATATCATTTTGTTTAAATGATGTTCGCTTGCTGATATCTGATAGAGGTAGAATTTACATGTCTAACTAATGAATTCTGATTATCAGATCAACATAGTAAGTATGCAGGGAATACACACTCACAGATGTAAATCCAAAGTGATAGAACAGATACAAACTCAACAATTGAAAAGGTGAAGATTTTAGCTTTTGGAGGGAGGGGAAATTTGATAACAGTTCTCACCTCTGTTCAATTGCTATGCTATGCCACTGAGACAGACACAGAAGAAAAAAATAAAGGATAACTTGTGTGCCTTCGGGAATGAGGAAGAGAAAACTAAAACCAGTCTTTTTTTATTACTTGGGCAAAGTGCCACGTAGTCATGTTAGCCTCCTCTCATGTTTGATGCTGCTTTCCCTCAACTTTCCCCACATTCAAACCATTTCATGCATGTCTGTAATTGAGGTTGTTTAGTGAAATTAAAGGGCGTTGAGAAATGTGCCATAGATTTTATAGCATGAGTTTTCGAGAAAGTTTTTGGTGACTGGAAATAGTTTGAAATAACTTTTGTCTTTTTTTCTCCCCTATTCAGTTAACCATGGAAACTTAGAGAACTTGGTAGGGCTACATGACTTTACTTTTAATTGCCTCCAAGGACTTTTTAAAAAAATTTTATTTTATTGGTACATTTTAGGCATATAATATAATGACATTCATCGTTGGAAATTTGCACCTTTACAAAATCTCTCTTGGTTCTTATTTTTTTCCCCATTCCCCTGCCCTCCCTTCAAGCCCTCTATCCCTCCCTATTTACAAAGACTTTGTTTCCATTTTTTCATTTTCTCATATTAATTCCATTCCCTTCTTTCCTTTACCCTAC